AAAGCTGCAGAGAAAGCTCCTGGGTCCAGGAGGGTGCTCCACGCAGGCATGCCAAGCCTCACTGACCGCAGAGAGCTCATGCAAGTCTTGCATTAGAAAACTAGTATCTTATTTTATTTCCCCCAAATAGCTGGCCCAGACCTCTCACCTTCTTTCTTGCACTCAGTCTAACCACCTGTGTAGCTGGTATGCCTGATAATAACCACTAAACAGTAAAAAGCTTACTACAACATCTTACTCAATGTAGAAACTTATAATGCATAAACCTTAAACCCTGAAGCACGAACTCGGGCCAATAAGTCTAGCCTCTCAAAAGGCTGTGCACTTAGAGGAACATAGTTCAGCAATTATCTAGTTTACGTGCCTAAATCGTCAACACTAAAACCGTTTTCAATTACAATCTGAATAAAAAACAGGCTAAAATGCTTTTTCAGGTGTTTACTGGATGCTCTGAACAAGTAAAAAAAATGATATTTTGATTTTAAATTCTTCAAATGAAGTGTAAGCAAGTAAATAATGTCAGCTAATCTTCATGGTCTTGTCTTAAAAAGTTTGATGCAGAACATTGTTCATCCTTATCCAGTCCTCAAAGACTCCTGAGTCTACTGTTTTCCAAGTCTAAAACTGGAAAGGAATCACCTGCTCCACTTTCAGATTGTTTCCCATATTTCACTAGCGTACATGCCAATACCCAGACCTGGTCACTGCAAATCTGTCAACTCTAAGACACAGTTAAGCAAGTGAAAAGTAGTTTTTCGTTCAAAGAACTAAAAAAATGCACTATTGTCCTCACTGAAATACACTTCGTTTTGGAAATCAAGATCAAATGTGCATTGTCACATAATGCTTCAGGGTTGGTAGTTAAGCATACAGCGTCCTACAGAGACTGGAAGGAAAGCCTGAAAATCGTTACTAGTCTTTCAGACACGTAAAGCTTATTTTCTCCTCCGGACGTTTGAAAATAGAGAGATGGAAGGAAAGCAACGGAGACTGATAGGTTAAACTGGTTTAAATGTTATCATCTCCCATTCCCAGAGCGTTTAACAATTAGTACTTATTTGCAAAATCTAGGCTTACCCGCTTATTTAGGTTTTTTGATATTTTTCCACTATTGTTGTGAACTAGATTAAACATACACACTGACTGAAATAGTAGATAAGCTTTTCAACATTTAAAACAGAAGGAGGTAAGCAAAAGTAGTTACTCAACTAGACATTCATGTAGAAACCAAAGGAAAATTATCAGCATTAGGAAGTATATTTACTTTGTGCCAAAAACTATTTATCTGTGCAACCAGAATTATTTAGCGAGACTAAAAAGAAAAAAAATCTCAAAGATGATCGCTCAAACGCTTATTGTTTATTCATAACAGAATCAGCGTATGAGGACATCATGAACGAGATGAAGAATTTCAAAGAAGTAAAAATACATGAAAAGTATCATCGTGGTGCAGAAGGCTGCGCTATTCTCATTCCCTACGCTACTCTGCAATTACTCACAATAGGTCAGGAATTATCACTATAAGAAAACAACGTCATGCAGGGTGGCAGTTCACATGAAATATTTCGAGATGTCTTCCAAATAACAGTTACGTAAAATTGATGTTTCAAGTAATCTCATGACTAGCTATCAGCCTTCCTCAGTAGCTCGCTCATGATGAAACAGATTGACACTGGAAATACCCCAAACACATCTATAGGAAGCAGGTCTGATACCTCTTAAGAGCTATGAGGAGGCAAAAAGTTTTTGCGGAGTAACAGGAATTAAGAAATCCTTCTTTAAAAGTTTTTGCATTTAAAACCAATACCTATTTCTCCGTTCCCCAAGTTCCCCACATACAAGGTACTTCTTCCAAGATTTGTCTCCCAGGATGCCAAATCAGAAATTGTATTTAAATAGTTAAGTATCAAGCCCCATAGTCATTCATATAACCACGAAAATATTACTGTATCTCTTCCAGGAATTTGACAATTTGCGAAGAAAGCAGAAATGACCCAAATAGATCTGTCACATCTTTTAAAATTGGTCTTCAGAAACAGAAGCATAAATATCCTCAGTTTCATCAGTAGTTTTTCAGACTCCTTTTCTGCTAAACACCAGATTGCTTATAGCAGACATCAGGGAAAGTCCAAGGACATCCCCGACAGCAATGGATAGGAAACTTAAGGCAATTGACACTTGTCTCCTGATTTATGGGGAGGGAAACTCTAACAGACTCAACCACTCCCGCACCGACAGCGATGCATACAAAGCAAGAAACAAGAGGGAAAGTCGAATTCTGAAACATATCATTGCATTTAACAATTCCATCCATATTTGTTATGCCAAGAAAGATGCTCCTTCAGCTTGGTGAGTTAGATTAAACTGTGTACTGGGTTACTTATTTATCTACAGAATGATTCTGCATGCAAGCTTGTTTTCTATTACAGAACACACTTTCATTATTAACAAGAGTATGTCTGAAGTTTCAGTAACATAAATGGATCAGTTCGGAAATGCCAGCGCTCACAGTGGTGTTACTTGTCCACCTCAAGGACTTTTTCACCATACTGGAAAGGTTTTCAGACAAATTTGCAGTTTTGAAACAAACCTGGTCAAGTAGTTATAGTTCTGCCTTCTAATTTTCTCCTGTCCTCAAAGTTGTCTAAGCTTCAAGAATTATTTGCAGACTTCCCTTTCTATTTAGGAAGGCAGAAAACAGCTGAAGACAAACACAGGGGTGCACAATCTTTAGCTTTTGTGTAGAGAGGAATACTAGTGAAGTTTTCCAGCAGGTAAATTTTGACACTGTCCTGCTTTTTCCAATGGTACTTCAGTTTTATCCACACCCACTTCTACTGCACCGATCACCTTAGGCAGGAGAGGGTGGCCCTATCAGATCTTGCATGTCTGAGCTACTTCCTCCATGTCTCTGGGAGCAACAACTGCATATCAAGTCTGTTACAGCTGGTTATTATCACCATTAAGATACTTTCCTCTGACTTTTTTTTGGTCCCATTTTAATTTTTTAATTCTGCCACAGAAAGTAGAAGAGGAATTAGATTGTGTTGCTGCTCAGGAACAGAGCTGCAGAAAGAACACCACAGCAAAGAGAGCAAAGAGAGAGAAAGAATACCAAAAATCCCAGCAAGCTTATAAAGGAATGCGATTTCACAGCAGTCTCAGGACCAGACTGAGATGCAGCATCTAGTACAGATACAAATTTCCCTAAACGACAGAGATATTAAGAGTCGTTCTTTTGAACCTTGCCCCTGAATGAATACAACACCTCTATTCTCTTCCAAAGTGCTGTATGGAAGGCTTCAGAATTGTATTTTATAAAAATATTTTTTAAACCTAATCACCAAATGATTTCACAGTGGAGGCCATTCACTTACTGCTCTATCTTTCTTATTTACTGCAGAGAACAAATTGCATATTGTTCTCCTACTATATCTGCTGAAGTAACTATACAGAGTATATAATTTTCTTTTGCGTATCAGCTCCCACTGAGTTTACCAAGGTCCTCTCACAGCGCACCTAAAAGTACAATATTGTTTTTTTCCCCCCCTCTTTAACTAACTGGTCCATAAAAATAAAGTTGCCACAAAGTAAATCATCCTGAAACAAATCTGTAAACATGCTATCAGCTAGGAGCACGCAGTTACTTTGGCATTCTGAAGAACCTATCATTCTCCTTAGAGATGAAAAGGAGGAGAAAACTCAAATTAGTTTTTCAGAAGGAACTTAAGATTCTAGCAAACGATTTGAAAAAGTGTCCCCAGAAATCTGTTTCCTGCAGTTTGTACAATTTCTTGTACCCTCTGCGTTCTTCTACTTCTCTCCCTCCCCATAGTTCACTTTCCTTGGCAAGGGGAATCAACTGATTCCTCACCTTCTTAGAGCTGCTACATTTGCTCTCCATTTTTCTTTGTGCCTTTTTAAAGCTGTTCCTGTTCTTTCCGAGGTGCAGTTCCCAAACTGTCTCTTTTTCAAATCAACAGAACTGACTTCTGTCCCAGGGAGCCTGCCCAGGCATCAGTTAAACAATCCCACTTCCGTCAGCCTCTCTCCTGCTGTAGGAAGCAGAGCAGCATCTGCTACTCGAGAAGCAGCAATAAAGGTTAGAAAAGCTGCCTACTGCTTCTCTCCCAGGAAGAAACTTGGAAGGAAATGATACTTGTGTATTAGTTATCTGGAAGGGGCTTTGGAAACCCTAGAACAGTGCTGGATGAACAGATTGCTGGCAATCATCAGGGAAAGGGAAAAAAAAAAGGGAGAGAGAGAGAGGGAGGGAGAGAAGCAAGAAAAAAAAAGCATTGCTGGGCATTCATTACAGTTAACAAAATGAATTCATATTTATTTCCTGTATAATTACACATGCATGCGCACAGATGAACATACTGCATATCCTATCATGAGCATGTAAGTTTTAAAATGCTATCAGCTTCGTACATGCAAAATTCACCTTTCTGGAGCTTGACTAGCATTGGTTCTGACACCTTGTACATGCCACCTGGTAGGGTGTGATGCACGTCCTCTGAGGGGAGTTTTCTAAAGAGCTCAGCGCTGACCTTGTTGCGTTACCAGTGAAATCAACAGAAAAACTTAATTTGATTTTTGGTGGAAAAATGAGCATTTTTGAAGTTATGCCCTTGATGTATTTATTTAGGCAGCGAAACGCAAGTACTACACGCAAGTAGTAAGAGCATTTGGATTACTAAACAAAAATTCTTTGCAGCTCTCAAGGTTTTAGATTATTATGCAATTCAGATCAACCTGTTTGAAGTCTAATGTTCATACCTCCTCCAAAATAATCAGCTCATATTTTATTAATTACAGAATGCAAAAAAGCCTTCTGAAAAGAGCAGCCAAAGATAAGCAGTTGTGGTTAAAATAGTGGACTTAGCAATATGTACAAGAAAGTCATGGAAACAAATCATTAAGGAAAAACTTAAATGGGCCTAGTACCATATGCTACTGCAAGATACTCAAAGGACTGAAATAGCTTTTCTCCTCACCTCTGGAGTGTTTTTCTTGAACTCGCGACTTTGCTCAATAAGTTTTTTCCTAGACTGCTCACTTTCATCTTGCCGGTTAGCCAATATTGTTGCTGTGGCATCAAGCTCTCTCTGTCAAGAAAAAGAAAAACAAAAATGCAACTACAGTTAGAGACCTATTCATCACAAAAATAAAAAATATAAAGCTTATGCATACATCATCTTGTTGAGAATACGGAGATGGTTGGACTATAAAACAATACAAAGCACCAAGCTTCCAGAAATCAAACCCTCTGCAAGCCATTAAAGGAAGCGTACAACCTTTTTGATTCCATCTCGAAATCAAAACATCACCAGTTTTCTCACAAGCACTCATGGCTTTACCGCCACATTAACACCGGACAGCAGCAGTGGCATGCAAGGCACACCTTCTAGTAATCCCCAAATCCAATGAAGGATACAGATCTCTAACAAGTTCAAACCAGGTCTATTTTTACCTGACTACCTTTTGAAGATACTGGCTTCTCACTTTTTGAGTTACTCTGAGGAAAAAAAAAGAAAAACATGGCCAACTCAACTATTGGCTTGCTGTATACTTCAACCGATACTGGCTATACTTCAGTTACTCTTAATTTCAATACATTTTGTATATCATTCTATACTGATACAGCAATGTTCTTTTTATATTTACATTTTTCCCTATTCAAATCTTTTCCTCTTATTAGAATCTATTCCCCTAAAAATTATTAGCAGATATCCCTCTGCTGACTGTTTCCTCCTCCCAAAGTATACATTTTTCATCATTTGATGAATGCCAGATTAGCTTCCAACAGCTTCTGCTAGGCAGAACTACAAACTCAGCACACCGACTACAGCCCAGCTTTGTCCAAGTGACTTCAGTGCGTTATCCCAATATCTTCCTCACTCAGTACTGTCCTTCCAAACGTCACCATAACAGACTGAACAGGTCACTTCTCAGTGCATGAAAACAGGAAAGCAACAAAAGCTAAAACCTCCACTCAAATATGTACGTCATTCCCCAAATCAGTGGGAGTTATAACCCAGAATCAATGAGAAAAATCTGGCACTGGTTTCATCCCTATTCATTTGAAGCTTAAACAAAAAAAAAAGGCTTTGGATAAGAAAAATTAAAAGTGAGAACAACAACTTGCTAGAGCAAGACATAATGCTGCTCGTCTCCAGGGCTACCTTCACGCCATTACTCTGCCCGCGTACCCCAGACCTGCGCTCAAAAGCCCCAGTCATCTCCCCAGTAACACCTGCATCCCTGGCGTTTGCTTATAACTCAAAAATCTACAAAGGACGAGACTGAACACCCAAACCTGGGACCTCTTGTCAGGTTTAATTCCAGATCTCCCGTAGTCAGCAACCCCGCCTTGCAGTATACAGAGGCAAAACAAGAAAACGATCAATTTGCTTCCCACAGGTACTTTTACAGGATTTCTTACAAGTAGCCCACAGACACCAGATGTCTAGAGGACACCAGCTAAAGCCTCTGTTCTACAAAAAATTAAAAAAAAAAAACAAAGGTATTTCAGTCCCAGAACTTCTTTCTAGGTATGCTGTAAAAAATCTAGCTCCAAATAGCTAGTTACGTTTCTGTATGGGTAAATGCTGTAACTTTCACTTGTTTCTGTGCTGGGATGGATGTGCATGTGTTTTGCATGACACTAAGTTTGACCTCTGGAGAATGGAGGGAAAAAAAGGATTCCTTCTGCAGTTTCCAACTCAAAAGGATCAGTTTTTCCCCCCCCTTTTATTACTGCAAAATTAAGAGATATGCAAAGTTGTTTCTAATAAACATATAGACCACAGTTATCTTAATCCTCGGAAATGAGCTAAATACGACAAATGGATTCTAGGGTAGGCAGCACGTTGGAGCCAGTGACCTAAATATTGCTACTGTAATGCTTTAAAAACCCTGTATTTCTGACTTTGGGGAGAAAAATAGGGCAATATGTCCACCAGATCTTGGTTTGGAATTCTGTAACATATGTGAAATCTATTGCAGAAAAGTGGGAAATACTTAACAGTTGGATAAACCACATTTGAAATTCATCCCAGATAAGTTTATGCAAGAAAAAAGAGCAACAGAAACCAATGTGGTTAAGCAGTACTATAAAGAGCAATATAACGGCTAAGCAGAAGGCTTTTAAAAAATATAAACAATCTGGTACGGCCGGCAACTTGGAAAACCGTATTTAAAAAGGAAGCACACATTTAAAGCAAAGCAAAGAAAAAACAAATCATGAAATAAGAGGGAATTTCAGTAGACCAAAGAATCAAATGCTTGTTGAATGCTATAGAGGGCTAGTAACGAGCTTTAAAACTGCAAAAGTAGATTTTTAAAGACCTTTACTTCCAAGTTTAGAGACAGGAGAGAAAAAGAAGAACTGATTCAAGCAAAGATCCTATTTTGTGCTATGATGAACAGAAAAGTTGAGAGGCAAATGAAGAATAATATCCCTCTTGCCCTGACTGCTTCACTGATACCAGCACCCCAGTACAATCGCTACGAAGAAGTCCTTCCTGCTCCTTTCTAAACTCCTGGGACATTTCTCACTACAAAACATTTTCATTCATACAGACATAGCCAAGGAAAAACGCAAGCATGCAACTAAACTGATTTGACCCAGTGGACAGACGATACAGCGTACTGAAGCCCAAAAGCTCAAGGTCTTGTCTAGTGTTTAAGAACAGGGACATTTAGATGCAATTCCAATAGGAGAACAGTAAAATATCCAGCCCTCTATATAAGACCTGATATTAAACTAGATATTAACTCCTCAAGCTATGCCATGGCTGACAAGCCATTGAAAAACCATTTGAAAATCACTAGTTTATTCTTCCTTACTTGATTTGAACCAATTACACGACAAGTTTATTTAAAAATAATAATAGATATAGGATTACAACCAACAAACATTAATGGCAGATTTTTCACAATATGTGTCTTAATCTCATGAGAAACCACATTTATTGGAAACACTCAAACAGCCAATGCATTATCTTTGCAAGCCAGCACATATTAAAAGGATAAGTCGTATTTACTCAGGTTTGAGATCTCCGAGTTGGACGTAACACACAAGGGAACAGACTCTTCCCAAGCCTGGCAACCATTCCTTAGGTAGCCACTAGGGGAAAGGAGAAAGATGTAATACTATACAGACAGAAGCATACTGGAGAGTCCTTTAGAGAGTAACAAAAATAGGAGAATGTGTCTCAGTCTCATTCTCCACATCTTGGAAATCAAAAAGGTTCAAATGAAAAGCTACCAGGAACCAAGGCTCCAAGGTGTGCGAGCGGTGACCTGACTCCAGGAGGGATGCAGAGCCTACAATCTTACTTGCATGGATTCAAAAGCGGTAATAAACTTTCTGGCCAGGAATAGCCATTTTTCAATTGTCCGTGCAAAAAATGAGTCAGGACTCAGAACATGATTTGGAATAAGAAGCGAGAACAAGCAAGACTGTTATCCTTCCCACTTCTTTCCCCTTGCCCCAGAGTCCCATCAATTCAGAGCAGACTGAACAAGCAACTTGGGAAGTTCACATTGCTTAAGCCCTGGATAACTGAAGAACTCTGGAGAGAGAGTTTCTACTTTGACCCATTTCAACAAAGTTATTGGGGTGGGAGTGAGGCAGTGGGAAGAGAGAAAACAAGAAAGTCTTATGCTCTTAAGCACAGGAGTCATTAAAAGCAATCCTCAGAAGCAACCATTAAAAGGTTTCTTTCAGGCTGTATATAGGGAAAAAAAAAATCTAAAACGAAGGGGTCAACCTGCCATCCACTGTAACAACAACCAACTCAAAGCGAACTTGTCTTCCTTTAACGCAGCTACCATAGATTTCCTGACAGTGGCTTCCTCACCTCCTTTGGGCACCCTCAGAGCCATCCCCGCTCATTCCACCTCCGTTGCCCTCGCCGCGCCAAAACCGGAGCCGCACGGCTGCGCGGCGAGCCACGGCAGGAAAGCGATCCTACTACAACTCACACACCACCTTCTTTCAGTGGAATCAGCTCCCAGTTTGGGCTCACTTTGCTGAGACAGAAGCGTGGGTCCAACTGCAAAACGGAGGTGGGAAACCACAGCTGGAGGCAGGGGGACACTGGTGGGATCTCCCCATTGGGTACCTGCCTGCAATTAGGCTGGCTTGAGGCAATTATGAAATTCTAACTGTGGGTACGCTTCATTGCTGTTTCCTTTTAAGGTGACATTTCTTTCCTCTGGAGGATGTGCACCTTGATAATCCCCTAGCCAGCAGGCCACTCACAAATCTACACCACACCAGCTGCCCAGTTTAACACACTACGACTTCCTTCCCTTTTTATAATAGGAAGCTTCAAACTAGCCCTCCTGCCTCCTTACCCCAAAGCACACCCTGTAAGCAGCCGGCTGGCATCTCTCGAAAGAGTCCCATGGGCTCTCTTAAAAATACCCACTTGGGAAAATGATTCTAAATAAAAATGGGTTTTTTTGGCCATTTTTAAGTTTATAAAAGTCTCTGTTCCCCCACCCACATTTCCAAAAGGTGGGAAAGAAGCAAGAATATATAAGCAGACAAAACTACAGTGCCATGGATCTGCTCACACCTCCCCTACTCTTTGCTTTTCTCATCTCTCATCCCCAGACATGCAACTCCAACAGGACCAAAAAAAGAATTCAGCCGAAGAGAAGCAAAGCCAGAGATAAGAACAATCCTTTCTCTTATCCTCTTATCTTATCCTATAAGAGAAAGGATAGATAGAAAATGTGAATCGGGGAGTGTGATGGAGGGAAAGGTATATGCGACTCTCAGCAATGCATCACTCTATCACGAGAAGGGAAGAGAGGCAACAGCAAATGATATTCATCACCGCTTTATCTGAAAAGGTGCAATGGAGGTAGAGAAACACAGTCTCCAACCTCCTCCTCCTGGGGGCCAGAGACAGGCCCAAAGCGAAGCTGCCTGCAGCACCGGCAGCCAGCGAGCAGGAGGTTAGGTAGGTCTGAGGCGCCACTTCTCTGCAGCTAGCCCCCACTAGTTTCTCCCTAACCACGTTCTTTTTATTCTATTAAGACAGTATAAATGGAATAAATAAATGTAAGTAACATCATAAAAGTATCT